CAAATTTTTATCATGTGAATTGTAAGATACCCGGGTACCTTATACGGCGTTTTACGGTAATAACACAGATACTCCGATATGTGAATAATTAGTAGAACCAATCAGAAGTAGGGGAAGAAATTAGTAAACTCCTTTATGCCAAACTGACGGTTCTTGTTTCAAAAATTTAGACTTATACGTATGTACGTCCTATATCTCCTATATCGATATCGATACGTAATAAATTTTATGGCCAATATAAAAGGGGTATTAAAGAGTCGATCACGATTTTCAGTACAAATAGCATGTGATATTGATATTGGATGTTTACATTTAGTAAAATGCATTCAAAATTCCAACAGCCTGACCTTCGTGCTTATTTGAGATCTTTACAAGAATTGGAAACTCAAAATAAACTTGATTGGTACTGGTCTGACTTTACAATTTTAAAAAGTACAGACCAGGCAACTTATAATGACTGCGTCAGGTTTTGGAAAAAGGTTTTAATTGAAACAAGTAATCGGGGTTTGCTTGGTGAAAATGTAATATGCTTAGAAACAAGTGAACATTTGGAAGAAAATTTTCAAAATAAAGGGTATAGTCCGTTAAGCTTACCCTGTGTCATTGTAAGTCATTGTAGTTTTATTAGCTAAATATTCACATATGAACTTTGCTCAAGCAATATAGTTGTTATATTTATCCTTATAGCAAGAAATGTATATGACTAATGAACTAATACCCGTTGATGAGTTCATTTTTACACAAAATCAATCCTGGTCGGGTTGGATAATTTCAAAATATATATTATACCCGATTTATTGGGGAATCCAAAAGTTGATTAGTTCTAAAAATTATTATTCATCAAAATGGGTTAAGATGGATACATTAAAAGAAGCAGCTTGTCGAGTCATTCAACATCAAGAGAAACATGGAATTAACGGGGTCACCGACAATCTTTTTACTTTATCATCATTCAAAGCTGAATTCGCATCCATAGCAATGCCAAATGTTATATTATCAGATTTCGATCTAAAGATTTTGATAACATATTTGGAGTCTGAACGTAAAATTTTGATAACAGATTCCTTGCACGAGGATGTTAATAAAAAAGAAAATGATATGGTAAATTATATTTCGTTCATATTTTTAAGTTTTAGTTGGTCACTTTTACTAATAAAATTTGATACCTTAATATAGATTATTAAATTTAGAGCGAGAAATGTCAATGTTAATACAAAATTTGAAATTACTTCGATTGATCGTGGGATCATTTATATCAAGGAAACATGTAATAAATTACATCAACAAATTCATGACATAGAAGAGCGGATAAAAGAGTATGTATTTCAAAACTTGTTACTTGTAGTGAATTCTTGGCGTACTTATCAGGATTTTACACTTTTTTTTAGAATATCAGCCAAAATTCGCAATCATATTCTTCAAAAACAAAGTGTTATGGCGAAACATCGTTTGAGACAAAAGATTCACCTCGAAAAAGTTTTGTCAAAAAGGGTCGGGTCTTTAGAAACTGTTGAGGGGATTCTTCTGAAGATTCAAGGTGCAGCAACGGATGCGGAAGTAAATATAAATCATTTCTCATTTTTCATAATTTCGGGTTTATCAGGCCAGCTCTTATGTAATAATAATTGCATTTATTGTAAATAGATAATCGATATATATAACGTTGGTGCAAATACTCTACATGATGTTATGGCTTCAAACGGTCTCACAGCCGATTCAGTAGACGCTACGATAGATAGGTTACAAGAAATTTTAGCAGATCAACAAGAAATCGATGAGGCCATGAAGCTAGGAAATGAAACCTTACTTGATACAACTATTGTCCAAGACGATGAATTGGAAAAAGAATTAGAAGATTTGTTAGCAAATGAAACCGCTATAAAGGAATCACCAAAAATCATTCCTACAAAACCCCCAATACAGATTTATAACAATGAAGATAATGAAGTTAATGAAGATAATGAAGATAATGAAGTGAATGAAGATACTACCAAAGTATTGTTAACTCCTGTAATCTAATATCATGTGATAACTTAACAGTAATGTAATAAAATACCAAGAATGCTACAAATGCTAATAGATCTATTAGTTCTAGCATATTACTTCTATTAAGAAATCTTAAATATATTAGATATATTAGAAATACTAAGATACTAAGATATAGTATAATGATAGCAAGAAATTATAATGTTATTTCTCTTTCGCAAAAGCAGTAGTTCCCATACTCAACAAGATAATAAATGAGTAATCGTGTCTTCATACACGAATAAATCATAAACTTGTTTACACGACTGCTTGTATCTTCATATACATTTAGCCGTTTGCCTCTTTCGTAACTGCAAATCACATAATCCTCTTAAAGCGTAACTGCAATAAACCATATACATATTTTACTTAAGCATAAACACGACATTATTATCAATTGTCTAACATATCCGTCGCTAAAGTAATTAATTATACCGAAATTATAAGAGGTAGTTTCGGGTGTAACAATATCAACTCAGAAAAAAAATAAAGCTAGACCGCAACAAGAGAATGTTATTCTCTATTAAACATACAATTTGCTTATCAGGCGTAGGATATTCTCTTAATCGCTACTTATCAGTCAGATGAACTGACTTATCTAAATTTCATATAAAATTTTTTTTTCAAAAAATATTTTATTTATATAACTTTCTTGAACTTTTAGATATTATTCTTTTGCATCAATAATTTTTTAATAAAAATTTCACCTTTTATAAAGATCTTGATCAATTTTTTACTAAAGTCTGATTCACCCCAACCAATTATATAATTGGTTAAAAAAAAAATTGAGAAAATAAAAATTTTACCAGATTTCTTGTATTTATATTTATTATAAAATTATAGCATATCTACTGGTTTGATTTTTTATAATATTTTTTAGGTATTTTTTGTAATAACTTGAAATATCTGATCTTTTTTAAATAATTTTATCATCCAAATTCAATTAGAGATATTCGCGTGTCAAATAGCGACATAGTATGTTCCACATTGGGAGGTGCGTCGCTATTTGACACGTGAATATCTCACGATCTTGTAATTATTTTGGGCTTTTTAGAATATTCCCATTATGAACATTTTGGTAATAAAATTATTTAAATAGACCAATAGGTTAAGTTATTATTTTAAAAATATTATACAGTCATACCTGAGTTATATCCCCACTGGGTTATATCCCAACCTGGGTTATATCCCCATATTTAAGCAAAACAA